GTAGAGGTCCTCCGCAAGAAGGAAACAGTCCTTTTTCTGGTTGCGGAATCGGCCGCGGGAACCCCATGCATTTCTGATGAACGTTCAGACTCGTAGAGCCCCGCGACGGGTTTCTTATCCGTCGTGCCCTGGAATCGAGGCGATTGTGATCTCGATTTAATGAAAACCCGAGTATCCGAAAACAATCCGATCCCAATGCCACATAGCGGTGACTTTCCTCGCGAGGCTGCAATTTTCACGATTCGATCTTCATGCACTTATCTGTATTTTTCGTGCACGATGTCTGCGATATAGTTTTTAAGAGACAAGCATCTATTATTTATTTTTTACGCTTTTAAAAGTTTAGCTCGTCGAAACTCGCCGGTTTTTAATGTAAATATGGTTCTGTGGCTATCTAAACTATTAATATCGCAGTTCTTAATCTGTACTTGTGCCGTATGTATTTGTGTTAAACATTGCAATATTTCACTGAGAAAAATATTATAATATTAAAATTTACATGATGTAGGTTTTTCGTAATATTTGTATGAACAAAGATAGAATCAAGTTTAAATAGAGAAAGTATTTGCTTTGTCATTCGCATCGATAGTGTTTCTTTTGTCCGGAATCTTGTTATCTGTTGAACTCTTAATTACGCAGAGAAAATAGTTTTGATGAAAGAAACTTCCGCGGTGCGATAATTGATACGGCATCGAGGCATTGACCGTCGCTATAATGAGTCCGATGAGTGACACGGCCGCAAGCCAACCGCGTCGCGAAAAAGACAATTTTTTTTTTACGGCCTTTTACAAACGCGGCGGAACACAGTGGGGATAAGAAGCCTGCAGGAGATCAGCAACTTCCGCCGTATTATTTGCGGAAACTTTATAACCACGACGTGTAATTGGAACGGACTCTCGGTTGCGCCGCGAGAGCCTAAAGGAGAGTAACTTACGGAGCGGCACAAAAGCGTGCTTATACGCGCGTTATACACACGTATACACACATACGAACGTCGTCGGGGTGGTTTTCATGTGACGGAGGTGATTAAAGAGCGGGAGATCTCTTCATTACGGGTCGAGTGCCCGCGCGAATTTTAATTAATATCTACGGCAAGTCTCCAGTCACGTGTCGCGCGCGTTTCAGTACTCATGCTACGCATCAATCCATAAGAAATTCGACCCGGTAATAATCGCTTTGATTCACTAATTATGTAAATCTAGTTATGTAAGAATCTTATAAAATTTATAAGATGCTTTCTTCTCCATGGAACTTCTCCATGGAATTACAGAAAGATTTTACAGAAATTTATAAAAATTGATTTTTCCCGCATGATATATTGTATATAAAAATAATAAATGTCAAATGAAAGTTAATTTAGAAATATTTATTTAATTTTTGTCAACAATTAGCAACTAATGATATAAATTTGTAAATAACTGACTTCCACAACGAAAAATAATCTAACTTTTTAATATAAAGTAAAGAGGTCAGCATTTTCATTAAGTATAAATTTTAATTAAACGACGTGTTACATTATGCTCATTCTACTGTATCAAAGAGTCATATAATTAAAAAAATTTATATGTAATAACGTATTTGCTTTAAAATATAATGAAGATAGGAAATGATTTTTTTCTTTTAATATAATGCATTATAATTATATTAAAATAAAATTTGTAAGTTGAAGTTATATAGCAAATCGGTCAGTTCTTTTAGAAATATTAGTAGAAGTAGGGGGGGAATAACAGAAAAAGGAATCTTAAGGTATTCGCGATACCACGAGAAATTGCTGACTGGCCAACCTTGTTATTAGACATTGATTTATTATTTCCGGAAAAAGTATAATGGAATTATGTTACCAGAATTACAATATATAACTCTTATCTTACAACCTATGATCTTGCGGCTAAAAGTCTAGGCCGTTTTTCAGAATAAAGGAAGGAAGACTTGAAGGAATTTACATAAGAAAGAGTAACTCTTGACACTCGCGTGACTGAACTTTTACAAGACGTATGAAGCAATTTAAAGCGTTTTCGCTACAAGTCAAATTTCTAATACAAATCAAGATCTATGTGGTATCAGATTTAAAGATATTAGTTCTAGTTTATCATATATGTATGTGTGTATGTGAGTGTGTGTGTGTGTTAGCTTGTGTCGCGAAAAATTTGACAATAGCGTTTGAACGATTTGAGTCTTTTTCTACGAACACCTCAATGTTTTTATCGTCATTATTTAGTTGCTAAAATTTCCGTTTCACATATGTAAGAAGCGGTAATCTGGATAATATTGAAGAATTCACTTGAGTACCGGTAATGTCAAGTAAATCTCAAAGACCGCACTTATCTCGAGAGTGTCTCGCGGTGACTAGTATAAGAGAGCACCGTGAAGGTCTACCTTATACTCTACCGCAACAACGTGCACGACGCTTCGAGCAAAGGGTCTCGTGAAGAAGTGCCAGGAGCAACAGTTTATGTCAATTTTCCGCTTCATGTACTTCATGCCGCACTCTTCGCGAAAAAGCAAGCCGGCGCGGGCGCGACGCAGCGGCAGTAGAGAGCATACACGTTGTGGAAATATTACTGTTCTAAACGCGAAAGACGATACGTAATTTAGTACGGGGAAATGATCTTTGTACAAAATCTCATGTTGATATGCCATGCGTTACTTATATAATAGCAATTTCGCCCCTCTCATTTCCTTACGATCATCGTTACCAATGATATGATGGTTGATATTTGATATCGTTTCCTTACAGTTATTGTCAGAAAACGGAAATGGACGGATAAAACATCACGATGGTATTTTCATAATAGAAAATTATGATCATTTAGCTTTAGCATAAACATAATCATTGTCAGCGTCGCTGGTAATTAGATGTATTAAACAAAAGACGAATGTACGTTATTAATTAGAAAATCTTGGCGTTGTCTATAATCGTGTTGCGCCTCCGCAAAAGTCTCTACATACTACTTAAGAATTGTTGATTCAGGTACATAAAAATCACGCCTGAGCGACAGTCTGACACCAGAGACTTTTGATTTTAAAGATCTCTCGCCCGCACGGTCCATTTCGTGCAATGCAATTGCAGACGACGTATAGAAAGACTCAGTAGCGAGAGAGTTTGGAGAATGTAGTCTCTCTACAGTCGGGAACCACATACGCGTGTCACCGCACGGCCGCTAGAATCCGTAGATAGTAAAGCCGATGGCAGCAGACCAAAGAGAATTTTCTAGCAGTGTACACTTTGGTTACTCGACAAGTGAGAGTCACTTCGATTCACCCTTAAAAGTCATCACACGACCGTTGAGACTTTCCGCCCGAAGTATATCTTTTCTACAAAAAAGAATCTATAAAATGACTCACGAAAAAATGATATATTAATCGCACCGAGATAAATCCAGTTTGATAAGCTCTCTCCTTTTCTCTTTTACTGCTTCTTACATCCTTTTCTTTCATCCATTTTTTCTCCTTCCTTTTTACTTGGCACATGTACTTTCTTATTCTCAACCTTTTCTTTCATGTTTCTTTCTATTTAATACTGTAATACTTTGTTACATTTTATTTTTGCTGTATTATTTTTTATCTTAATAAATTTATATTTCCAGAATATAATATTTTTTTTTCTATCTCTTTTATACTTCTTTCTTATTTACAGTCCATGCTCGAATTGCAACGAGACATACTTTAGTAGTCAAATCGGATTTGAAGTTTCAAATAGTATTATTGCGGAAATAACTCTAAGTACGTAGACTTTACAGATTTATAACTTTCTCTTATTCTGCTTCTTCCCACGTGTTTTTATTAATTTTCTTAAAATCGATAATAATATCTGAGAATGACGCGTATTTTGAATAAAATAAAAATCGATCTATCTTGGCAGATACTTCTAGCGCTTGTTGGATGTTTAAAGTGCAACATTTATGTAAGAGATTATAGATAAGTAAACTTAAAACATTCCGACAAAATATATAACAAAATAAGCACATCCAAAAATGATAAATGGAAGTTGTTGTATATCTAATTTGAGACACTAGCACATAGACAGTAGCAAAGTGATATCGTGTATAAACTCGTTTTCGCGACATATCGGTTACGAATTTTTCTGTTCCACGCGTGGCGTTATTACGCAAATGCGAGCCTCACGCATGAAGTAACATCACGCAGGATGGAGAAATACAAGCGTCGAGACAGACGGGTGGGAACTCGATCTCCATATAAGCATCTCGAAATCCTCTCGTAGATTCGATCATCGCACACGCGAAGGACCTCCGCCACGTTTCTCCGAGACGATGGTCGGAGACTGGCGCTGGTGCGGGATACCGCGGGTACGTAGAGACTTGAAAAATTGCATTTTGTATTCAATAACTAAGCTGTCACGCCGACTGGTGAGCTTCTATAACTCAAAGCGCATCCACGCAGCCACGCGTACACCGCCCCTAGATCGATCGATCGCCTTTCCCGAAGTAAAGCAACGTCGGGGGATGTACGAATAGTATATATGCTCCCCCTGGCGCACTCGTGGAAACTCACTGACGTTGTGATTTCAAAAAATTCCGCCGTCGAACTTTGTATCGGATTTTGTCGATCGAGTTTGCACGTCTTCCGAAGCCCGACGATGTCTGACAGATCCCAAAACTGTCTCATATTTGTCAGGTAAATTTAGCCCAAGATTTTGTCGCATTGTGGCGTCGCACATGGATGTCCCGTTTCAACCGTATTAAAATTTAATTAAAATTTCATGTGGTACAACGGTCTATCTCTGCGCAAACAATATGCTGTAAAGCAGCACCGCGGGGATGAAATATGATTTGAGCATTTACATGTGTAATTTTGTTTTATTACTTGTGAGATAATTATAATTAAATGTATACAGAGTTTAGTTAATTATTGTATGTTAGTCTAGAAATTTTCTCGCAATTTTAGTACAATATACTACTTTAGAACTCAATTATTAGAAAATTATCTACTTTAATAGATGTTTTATATCTATTAACGTAAACTTTTACTATTTTTTTCAGTTACCACCATCCCTGATCCCGAATTTGTCGACGAAATCGGAAATATTACAGTACCAGCGGGACGAAATGTCAAACTGGCATGCAGTGTAAAAGATCTTGGATCATTTAAGGTACGTACATGAATGAATAACATATTATTACTTTGTTATACTACGATATCATTCATTTATGTGTATTTATTACTTTTACTTTAATTACTTTTAATTAAATTCGAGGGCTGTAATATTAATAGGAACAAAAAAAAATATTATTTACTCGTTGAACAACTAACAAGAGTTAATAAATCAATAATATCTACGCCCGTATACCTGTCTACATTAATATCGAAGATTAAAAATTTAATCAATTTTATTAAAACGAGCGGGCAGTACAGTTTTAGGATAAATATTAAACATCAATATTTTGTTCAGTCGACTTTTAATTAAAATTTTAAAGACCGGCGTCCTTTTACTTTCCGTTTTGTAATTTTCTAAATTCAATCTCCGCTGAAAAACCAAGTTAGCAGAAAATTATGAGTACGTGATATCGTTAGATCACGTGGTTCGATGATACTGAGATACTTTGATAAATGTCATTCATCAATAAAGGACCTCATTAAATTCGAAGCGCGGGATGCTAGAGAAAAATCGAGGGCGAAGAAGAATACATATCTTCGAGGATCTTGAATAATTTTCTCATCTGGCGCACTCATCTCACTCAGCTGCTATCGTACGCGGAATAAATTAATGGCACCATGGATGTATATATCGAATATTATATTTAATATATCTTTGTGCTTCAAGCAACGAATAGATCGAATTCGTAATCATTACCAATTATTAAACTGATAATAATTATCTGAATGGAACCAATTGTGAATGGAACGTTAAAAAAATTCAGACTTTTGGAAATCAAAATTTCAAGTAATTTATTTGTCTAAATCACTTGATATTATCATTTTTCCTTGCATTACAATTAATTAAAGTTGCGTCATCGTTAATGAATATGGTAATATTGGCCAAGAAATTTGATCGTTTAAATTACTTGATACAAGTATTACTCTTCGCATCGCGATTAATTAAAATTGCATCGTTAACAAACGCGATAATACTATTCTTAATATAGGAACGATAAGGGAAACATGGATATATTTTATCTTTTATCGTCATTGTCATGAAAGAATGAGTTTTTACTCAACCGCAAATCTCGCATTTTCCAAAAGGTTTTAGGGTCTAATCTGATCTAACTTGCTCCAAAAGATGTATAAGGGAACAAAAAAACATGCTGTTAAATAATTTGGCAATTTGGCTGAGTTATTACAATGTCGTTCGTATTCGCAAATGAACCAGAAACATACACTCGCAACGCTACAGTAGTCAGAACGAGCAACGGAAGTCGGAAGTTCGACGCGGCTACCTGAAATTTTACATCCGGAAAGGGAAGTAAGATTGAATTGGCACTTTCTGGATCCGCGCCAGCTCGTCTCACACTATATGTCGCACCACTCGAATAGTCGTCATCTCGTTTTCCCGAGTCTCAAATTGAAGAATTCGATCGTACCAGCGAGGCACTCTCTCGGTGTGTTTAAGATGCATCTAGGTTTCTTTTTATACTCACGCTATTTCAAAATTATTTGTTTTATCGTGATAAATTTAATATAATTATTATTAACGTAGAATATGTTTTAATTTTATTTCTTAGCTATATCATTCGTTAAAAATAAGAAATGTAACTTTGTTTTTTAAAACTAAAATTATTGTCGATTGTTTAAGTAAAAATTTATTTTCATATACTTCGCGCTAACTTCGATTGAGCCTTATAGCTCTGCATATTTTTCTATCATTTCGTGAATTAAATGTTAACTCACTTCTAATATAATATCCAAGGTACTAAAATTTGTTTCCGCGTCTCGATATTATAATAATAACACAGTAAACAAACTATCAACTCATTTCTTATATAATATCCAAGGTACTAAAATTTGTTTTAGCGTCTCGATATTAATAATGACAATCTATTAAAGTTTGTATCCTGAATAAGGAAAGAAAATTATCTTCAGCTTTTTAATATAACGTACGATTAATTGTATGTATGTATGTATGTGAAAGTGTATATATTTAGATTTTGTATTCCATAACTTATGTGAGGATTTCCGTATTGAAATATGTCCAAGATCGAACCGGACAATACTTTGTCGGGCGCTTACGTGGAGTGATTTTATATTGTAGTGGTCTGAGTACGTGCAACGGTTTACCTCTCACTACTACCACTCCTCCTTACGAGCCTTATACTGCCCCTTAGTGCCCTTTAGTGTCCCATGGAAAAGGCCATCGGGGATCGCAACCGCTAAACACGCACTTAAACCAACCCTCGTGCCTGCTCACCGAGATCAACGTTATGTTATCCTACGATCGTTCTGTCCACCGTTTACCATATTCAGGTTCACACGTATATCGAGTGGAAAGTAATTGTTGTGGAGTTACATCGATCAATTACTGTTGGTGGCTGTACGGCTTTTTCGTTTTGCAAATAGTGATTTCCCGATTTATTGCAACGGTATACGTCATAATTTTATGTGTAACAGAAGTCGTGAGAGTAATTGATGGTAGATGCTACAGCAAACATAAAAAAGGTAGTAACAATTAGCAATATATGTGGTGTATATTATAGAGAGAGAAAGAGAGAGAGGAATTTAATTTTACATTAATTTTGTAAATTTTTCGAGAAACAAAATAAAAGTCCTAATTTCAATCTAAATTGAAATGAGCGTATAAATTACAAAGATCTTTTTTTTTTATCTCCAGGACGGAACAAGGCAGGATATTTTATATCGCTTTGAACTTCGTTTGATATAATTTTGCATTCATTGCCAGGGAATCCGAATTATTTCGCAATCTCTCTGAAGTTGCGCTTGACGTCGTTAACGGGTACATTTACGCGCGAAAAAATTTTATCGTATTTAACGTATTTCTGCATTTTTCTGGTCTTCTGGATCGCTCGTCGAGGTGAGCTCCTGCGTATTATCGAAGAAAAATTCGCGATATTTAATCCTCATCGATGCTACAACGAGATTTTCATAGCTTCCTTTTACTTGCCGGCATCGTAAAGATCAATCGTTCATTCTCGCGAATCAAGACACACCGGCCGAGAAAAATAACCGCTTTAGTCAAGATATTAAATTCCAACTTTTTTTACTGCACATCGATATAATATAAAATATATGATACCTCGCTGAGAAATTTCTTTTGTTCCTTAAAGTATTCATTGTTGTATATTAGAAAAGTCCGTAACATTATATAACGTAATATAAAAATTTAATTTAATAGTTGCTTTTATTAATCTCAATGCTTCTAAATTACAGTTCAGATTCTTATCAATACATTTTTTCGAATTATTCTCTTTAAAAGTTTTATTTTTTTTAGAAAAACCTTTATTAATACTTGTATTACTTCAATATTAAATTTATGTATAGTTCATATAATTATGATCTTAGTTTCATAGAGCCATAACGAATTGATAATAAACATTAATGTAGCAATCGTCATGTCCAGTTATATATACCTCACAAAATTTTATTCACAATTTATACAAGTCACGGTCCGTATCTCGCCGTGTGTATCGATCGTCTGTTTCTGCGAAAACATAATTCTGATTTAACTCGCATTCCACATTTTCGTATCGCGCGCAATCGTGTAAAAAGCTTGTCATCATCTGTATGAATGAAACACAGGCCCGCGCGCATCTTAATAATATAATTGTACAGAATATCTGTTTTTCTCACACGTATCTCATCAGGATTCCAGCGACGGTTTATTTGGAATGCAGTCGCGCGTGTATTGGTCATGCGCGCATACGGCCGTCGGTTTTTTACGCTTCAATACAGGCAAATCGTGGGACCGCGTGCGCGCGTTGTTCGCGAGCGTCGCGAAAAAGGAAAAAGGAAGAGGACGCATGATTCGATGCGCAGCCAACGAAAATGTAAATTCACCCAGCACCGTAGTCGGTGGCATGCATCCGGCCGGAAGTAAAAATTCTCCTCGGCGTTATTGTTTTTTGGTCGCTTGCCTGACGTACAGCCGGCTCGTATCTCTTAAACGGAGAATTCCTCGATTTACCGATACCATTTCGTGATGCTGGTCGCGGATTCTGAGTCTCCTGGTGAAACGTAAGGATATTGGCTTTGCCGATCGGTATTTCTACGGAAATCGCACGAGGAAGAGATGCCTGATAAGAAAACACATTTCGATTCCTAGCCGGGATACAGGCCATTTTTTTCGTCCTCTGGGTCGTCGAAAATTCGCTATAGAAGGTCACGTATACATGTCGGACATACTTTTATGTATTATAATATATTTTAAAATATATTAACAGATCTAATCGTATATTATATTATTATATTGTCCGAATTATATTGTAAAATAAGAAAAATGGTAATATTATTGATAAAATTTGGAACAAGCTAGAGTATTTTTTATTGATTTTTCCCTGCTAAATAGATAGATATACATCACGAAGGTATTATTTCGACTTGGTTTGAATTGGAGCGAGTATTTATTTTATCAATATACACTCTTAATATTGTCGATTTGGTCCCCCAATTTATACAGCATTCGTACAACGAAAATTTCACCCTCACGTATTTCTTCTCTCGACTTCGTGTCGCTTCCTCTCGACAAGAGTCATCGTCATGTTACATAGACGAGTATATCTGTATTAAGTTCTCCTCAGATTATTCTCCAATTAATTAGCCCGAACGATTCTTCAATTGATCCTCGGCGTGCAACCCGCCACCATCGACGAGCTCCAAGAGGTTCGTTATCCTCGATTCGCTTTCACCCTTAGACAGGAATGGGTAATGAACTGGAAGGTGGTTCGTACCGGGTTGTATTATTAAGATGTTAGATTGTGTTATGCTTGACCGCGCTTTTGGGGATAACGAGGATAATGGAATTAAGCGTGTCGGAACCGTCGATGTACCGTCTATCTCCACCTCCCATCACCATCTACTTTGGGTTATTTTCCATCCGAAGCTCTTCTTCGAATGCGTTTCTAAACCGATATCATTCATTTATTTGATTATCACAACTGAATAAATATTCTCATAAATTGAAACTTCACTTGATTATTATTT